AGGAGGCATTGGAAGTACACTTCCTTTCAGTGCATTGCTGGGAAGACCATTAGGAAAACCACTAGATTATTTTTCACATTCTTCAGTGCAAAACTACTGCATTTTATGACCACTATCAATAACAGCTATCGTATTACTAATGCTACAGTTGCCACATATATAATATTTAAATCACATTTGCGGCTGACAGAGACCTATGGATATTCTCGATCCCAACAGGCTATTACAGTTCATATCATGTCTGTCATATAAATATTATGAATCATTTTCCACTATCTTTATGGGGGCTACATTGACATCATCAAAAAGGCTCTGGGTACTGCCTGATACTGCATATTTATACGCACCTTATGTATATGTATGTGAATGGAGGGAGATTTATACAACAATCATAGGTAATAAATGCCTATGATAAAGCATATTATCTTCACACTTCATTTGCAAAGTGTTCTGTATGCAGGGACGAGGAGGCTCTAAGTGACTGAGTCACATCCCAGCCCTGGTGCACATCAGTTGCTTCTGTGCCATGAGGCTGTGCAGCAGCAGGGCAGGATGAGCTGCAGCAGTGCCCAGGCTCCAGTTTGGTCCATGTGCTGCTGCCTCGCTGCAGGTGAGGACTTGGCTCGTGTCTGTCTGGCTGGCTGGGTGATGCTCCATGTGCTTTCCCAAAGAGCTGTAAATCTCCTGGTTCATGCACTGCATTTCATCTTTCACTGCTTGCTTTGCTGGCTTCCTTGGCAGCCAAGCCCTGGCCTGGGTGATGAGATGAAATAAAGACATCTCCAGGTGCTGCAAAAGGCAGAGCCGGGCTTTCCATTAACAGAGTATTTCTGCAAAGCGGTTAAACTGCTGTCCCTGCAAACCAGGTGAGAGATGCTAAACCCATCCACCAGCAGAGCACAAGAGGGGAGGGAACCTCCCACCGGATCATTCAAGGGAGATCCAGACAAGAGCCCAGGCGCCCCGAGATCTCTTCTCCAAACCTGTTTTAGCTGCTCAAACACTCTGTTAAGACTCGCTCCATATGTGGAGACAGACAAGAACAAATGCAACTTTATGGCTTGGAAGTCAGGAGGTCTCTGATAAGCATTTAATGTCCGGTTCTGGAGCAGCTGGAAGGGCAGCGCAGGACTCGTGCCTGTGCAATGCGTTCTTTTATCTGAGCAGGCTCCAGAAGAGGGGAGAATGTGGAGTCTCTGCCTGTCCTTGGCGTGGGAATGTGGCTCTCCAGCTCCAGCAGATCAAATAAATCATGTGCATTCACTTCATAAACAAACATCAGCAGCCTGTTAAATGCTGCCGGGAACAAAGCAGAGCAGTTTGAATCTGCAGCGCTCGGAAATGTCTCAGCCTGCAGAGCTTTTGCTGGTTTGTGTGTGTGGAGCCTCCCCGAGGAGCAGGGACCTTCCCCTGCATCTGTGTGGGTTTGCAGGGCTGGTCTGATGTGTCTGACAGGGCCTGGCAAGGGGACTGCGTGCCTGGGGACTGCCTCTGCTTCCAGCCTACAGGGTCCCCGTGGGATGCCACAGCCCCTGACCTGTCCCCCATAGTCCTGCTGTGTCCTGCAGCCAGGGAGCCTGGCTGATAATGGGAAGAAAAGCAACACATGAGCAGCTCATGCCCCTGAGCACAAGAGGCAGGTCCTGTCCTGAAGACCAACAGAGCTGGTACCCCAGGCAGAAAGCTCCAGAGTGCAGGGACGTTTCAGCAGCCTGAATGTTGGGAGTGATGGATAATCCAGACCCTGGCCTACCGCATCCAGAGTGTCCAAGGTCCTGGAACCTGCAGTGGCTTTGTGGGGAGCGGGTGCTGGAGCTGACACGCATGGAATGTGCACAAACACCTTGAGGCTGGAGCCACCCTTGTCCCTGCACCAGTGTGCTCTGGGCACCCCTCACTTTGCTGGGGGAGATGGAGCCCAGACATGGCCCAGGAGCTTCTCCTGCTCAGGCTTGTGTGTGTTCTTTCTTTAATCTGTAATGAAGTGCAGTGGGGGGGGATCGCTGGTATTTTCTCACTGTGCAGGACGGTAGGGGCAGGAGGGGAAGCACAGCAGGTTCTGCTGGCATCCCATCAGATGGTTCTGGGTTCTGGGCAAGATAAGCTGGAATCACTTAAAAATGATAAAGGCTGTGATTCCCAAATCCCCTTAACTGGGTCCAAGGGCCCTGTTCTGGATACGGTGTCAGCCCCCACAGCAACTCGGCACCAACCTCCTGCTGATGCCCACGCACACCTACATCCCTCTGTCCCAAAGTCTTGAGCACACGTGGTGGGGATGTGGGGAGAAGCCTTTGCTTAATGGACTTTCATTAGTGTCTCTGTTAAATTCAGCTGGAATTGGGTGATGGGACTGATGGGGCAGGCGGATCCCAAATTACCCCATTGTGTAAGGCTGCTTCCCCAGCATCCCAGGCTGAGGGGTATTTGCATTGCCCAAGGGCAGAGGGAACAAGAGCCGCTCAGGCTCACCTCACAGCTCTCCCAGGCAGCACAGGACCTTCAAGCATCCTTGCGCCGAGCAGATGTGTGAGCCAATGACCTGCAAAAATTATCTTAACGTCCCCCCATCGCCCCCCGTGACGATTTAAGTCCTTAGCTGGGAAGTGCAAAGCTGGAGTTGAGCACAGCATTAGGCAGCCTGGTAGAGCTTATTAAATTAATAGTGCATTAAAGAAGTGAGAGGAGGCGGGTGGGGGGGAAAGGGAAAGAGAAGGTTTGTAACATCACAGAAATATCCTTGCTACCTTCTGGCATCTTCAGGAGACTGGAAATGTGGGACTGCATCCAGCTGCCTTCTCTGGGGCAAAATTCCTTTGGCTTCTGTGGGAGGTTTTACCCAAATAAGGACTGCAGGATCAGACCTGTTATTGTCACTGCAATTAACATTTAGATCCACATCTAACACGAACTGTTACAGGCTGGTTAGGGAGAAATTTAATTTGCTCTAAACAGCTTGATGGGAGAGGAGCGTGAAATGTCCTAGTTATGGTAATTTCATGTGTTAGAGTCTCACAAAGGTGGATTTTCAGCCGTGGGTCTCACAGCGCTGGTATCTGCTGCAGCCATCATCTGAGTGTGCTTTGGGATGCTGAGGTTTGGGGCAGACCCTCACCCATGCTTAGTGGTGTGAGCTGTGTACACCAATGGGTTGTGTGGTCTCCGTGGACCTGCTCAGAGTCGTTGAGGCCCTCACTCACCTTGGCCTGTTTTGGCACTGGTGTAGTGTGGGCACGGTGGAGAGTTTGCCCTCATCAGACACCAGGATGAGCTTTAGTTTATCAAGAAACCAATTTTACCTTTCTGTTGTTGGGTTTTATACACAGATCCATGGGATCCATGACTTTACCCTGCTGATCCAATCTTGGAGACTTCAGGCCCTCTTTTTCTAACACCCCCCAACTTTCTCTTATATCCTTATGTATTTCCCCTTTTTCCCCTCTTCTCCCAGGAGTTAATGTATCTCAGCCATAAAAACTGACTTGGAGATGAAACTTGGCATTTAAGGTCCCAGCCCGGGAGCAAATGAAGTTACCAGTTATAAACACACACCAAAATCTGTTTGGACATGCTGAAATTACAAGAGCAGAGGATAAAAAGGATCCAAGATGTTTTATTTTGCTTCAACTTCTGCAGCTCCGCATGTCAGCTCGCAGCCTGACGCAAGATGGGTCCTCTCGGTGTTGCTCTTGGTGGTGGTGCAATTAAAGCTGAGCATCTCAGCGTGCCAGGGAGGAGGCAGGATCCGCAGCAGGACCCTGAGGGGCTGCTGGCTGCGCACCCCTCACCTCACCACGGCGTGTGGGTCTGCCCCGGAGCCAGGGCAGGGGCTGTTCTGGCAGCCAGCACAGAGGAGCAGGCAGGAGTTGTAAGGAATCAGGTATTAGGGCCTTTCCAGGGCCTCTCCTTTAGATACTACAGCGACAGATAGGAGATAGACTGATAAGGGCACGCAGGTGATAGACAGGGATATGGCAAAGGAAGATAAGAGGCTTCATTTTTATAGGAGGAGGTGCTGGGTTGCTAATATTTATGACACAGGACGCTTTGCCAATTAAAGAGTAAAGCACGGCAGATAAGAGCCTCGGAAGCGCTTCCACAGCCGGATCCACCACACACGAGGTGATGGCTGGCGGCAGCAGCGCACCCACGGCTGATGGTTGTGTGCCAGGATGGTGCTGGGTGCCCCTGCCTCCCCCATTCCCCAACCCCATTCAGTGCAGGGAAGCTGGGCTCTGCATAAGGGGCTACCTCGGCCCCCAGAACCCCCAGCAGTTGTCCTAGTGTCATTTCAGGCTTCCTGCATGGCTGTGGGGCTCCCACTGTGTGCGATCAGAAGCAGCCGTGAACCTAGCCTGTTTGTTGTGTGTGTTACAGCCATAAGGAGCGAGGGTCGATATGATGTTTAATATGCTTCAGGCACAGCGGAGTCGCTTTGGTCCATCAAGTCACTAATACACATTCTTAGGGGCTGAATATCATTTATTAAACCCCGAGGCATGTGGAGATGGGGGGGGGGGGAGCTGGGGCCTGGTGATGCCGCTGGGGTGGTACCCACAGAGTTTGTGGCCGCACACTCACAGAGACTTATTCGTGGTGCCTCGTTTGTGGGGAAGGGGAAAAATAGCGCTGTGAACGCTGCCCACTGCGCAACGCACCCCGGGGATGGGGCACAGGGCTGGGGGCAGCGGTGGTGGCTCCGCATCGCCCTGGAGAACCCGCACCGCTACCCCCATCTCCGTCCTTATCATTACGTGTCCCTGTTTTCCCATTACGTGTCCCTATTTTCCCATTATGTGTCCCTGTTTTCCCATTACGTGTCCCTGTTTTCCCATTACGTGTCTCTGTTTTCCCCCCTTTCCCACCGCTTCAGCAGACCCAACGGGCCGGGGCCGGGTGGCTGCGGGCGGGCGCGGGGCGGCGCTGCGGGGCGCGGGGCGGGCGCTGGCGGCGGTCGCGGCTCTCGCTCCCCCCCTGCGCGGGCCCCGGCGCGGAGCCGGAGCCGGAGCCGCAGCCGGAGCCGATCGCGCCCGGCGGAGCCCCGCGGCCGAGGGACGCTGTGGGGAGTTTGCAACAACTCCGCGGCCTCTGCGGGGCCGCCGGTGCGGGGCCGCCGCCGCCTTCCCCGCCTCCTCCTCCTCCCCTTCCTCCTCCTCCTCCTCCCCCTCGGGCTTTTCTCCCCCCCTTCCCCTCCCTCCCCGCTCGCTCTGATTCCGCTCTCCTCCCCTCCGCGCCCTGCGTGTGTGTTTTTCGCCGCCGCTCTCCGCCGAGCCCCTTGGCATGAGTTAAGCCCCAGCCATGGACACCAAACACTTCCTGCCGCTCGGTGAGTTTTGTTCCGAAAAAGATTCTCCATTCCTGCGGCGGGGCGGGGGGGGGAACGCGGTTAAATAACGTGAACCGAGCTGCTGCCGGCCTCTTCCCCCCGTGCCGCGGGGTGCGCTGCGCCCCTGCCGGGGAAGGGGGGGGTTCCCGGACCCCCGGGGGGAGCCGGTGTCAGCGCCGGGCAGGCCCGGGCCCCCCTCTCCGCCTTATCCCGGTTGTTGGTCTTGTTTTGGTTTGGTTTTTCCGGGCCGGGCGCGCAGCTCAAGCGGTATTTTCAAACGGGGCAGCGGGGCTGGGCCGGGGGCGTCCCCCCCCGCCCCAACTCGGGGCTCGGTTTGCGGTAAGGGGGGGGCGGCACCGCGCAGCCTTCGGTCCCCCCCTTGATTTGCTCCATCGGCTTCTTTTTTCCCCCTTTGCCTCCCTGTCCGCGCCCGTGGGGACCCCTCCGGCGGCATCGCCCCTCGCCGCCGGCCCCAGCGCTCGGGACCCTGTGCCCCGGTGTTTTCCTCTCCTCCTTCCTCCCCCTCTGCTTCTTAGTTACATTTTAAAGCCTATTTCCAGCTGGAGTTTGCCACTGTTTCGGTGCCTGAGTCAAGTCCTGGCTTGTAGGGGCGAATGCCTCCTCGCGTCTGGCTTTCGGGAGCAGCGAGATTGCGGAGCCCAGCCTTGGGGTGGGGGGAAGAAAAGTTTTGGCCAAGTAACCCAGCGCCAAGTCCAGGCGAGGGGGGAGCGGTTGGAGCCCTGCCGGCTCCAGCACACTCCGTGCTTGGGCCACCAGCCTCCGGCCGAGCGAGCCCAGGGCCCCCAAGAACATCCATTGCCTAGTGAGAGCAGCCCTTCTCTGGGCTTTAAATCTGTGCTCATCTCTGCTCCCCCGCGGTGCTGTTTTGTTTCTTTATTTCTTCCTTTTTTCAGTGTTTGTTATTTTTTGCGTGTTTGTTTAACAATTGCAGTTTTAGTTGTTCCTTTCCAAGAGTAGAACAAATACAAACAGCACCAGATGCCCAGCCAGCCCTGTCCTATGGGACTGCCAGGCTCTGGGGGCTATGGCAAGGAGAGCCTGGGCTGGCAGGGCTGTGGCAGGGCTCTGGCACCTTCCTCCCCTCCTCAGATGCTGGTTTGGCCGTGGTGGGCAATGTGCCCGGGTTCACTTCCCCGGAGCTGTGGCTCTGCTGCATTATCCCTTGGGAGCAGGTCTGGCATTCCCAGTCCCACCGACCCCGTTTGGGTGCCTCTGGTGCAGGTATTGCGGTCAGCACAAGCACACCGAGGCAGAAGGTGCCTCTTGCTGCACACAAGTGGTTCAGTCTTGGGGGTGGCTGCTTTGAGTATTTCGGTTTCCTTTGATGCTCTTGTCCAGATCCCTGTGGATAGGGGCAGGATCAGGCCCCTGCGTTCTCTTCCAGAGCTCTCCTGTTACGCTGTAGATGATAAATAATGGGCTGTGTGATTATATTAGTGAGGTTGGTCCCGACAGGGGGAGAGGGGCAGCACGTGTCACCTTGCTGCTGGCTCGGGAAGGGTTTTCACACTGGTGCGAATGGAAAACAACTCATTTATCTGCTCATTTATCCATGGATGTGTGTAATGGGGGTCTGAGCGTCCAGAGGAGAGCCAAGGCGGGCACCCCAGGATGGGGGTGCTGGGTCAGGGCTGTAACTTTGTGTTGCTGGCTTAGGAGAAAATCCAGCCCTTTTGGGGTGCGTGGTCTGGGCTTGTGTCTGCTGCACGTGGGGCTGCTGCAGAAGTGGCTCTTGAACTTTATCCACTGGTCTTTGGTCCCTGATTAGTGGCAGAATCAGCTTTGGTGTGAGGGCAGTGGGTTCTGCGGGGTTTGGAGGGGGAGATGCGGGTCCTGCCCTGAGCAGGTTGAACCTGAGGGGGTTTGAGCAGGATGGAGAAGCGAGGGTGAGCAGAGACCTTCCCATAAACCAGAGTGGAGCTGGGGGGCCCTCGGTGCTTTGTGGAGGTTGAATGGTCCAAAACCTGCCGGGTCCTGACTTCACAGAGTGCCAGGGTGTTTCACCAGCCCCGTCCCATGCCACGGCTGGGAGCTGTGTTTGTGAGTTCAGGGGGAGAAAAGAGCCAAGCTCAGAGTTCATTTCTCTGCACACCAGTGTAGGCCTGAGCTGGAGAATGGGAGCAACTGGGGACCAAAAGCAGGCGCCGTTACTGTGTGGCCCCGTCAAAATCTCGGCTGAGTTTGGCGTAAAAAGGGTAACCTGGGGGAGGTTGTGCCAAGCGCTGCCCGTGGTTATACTCGGATAACCCCGCTGAGGTCATGGGGAAGCGTGGCCAGCGCTGGCACTTTTAATAGTAGTATCTCATTTTCCTGCTTGTCCCGGGAGCTCTGGCGGGTGCCAGGCAGAGAATCCTGTGAGGACAGCACGTTCCCCTGCTCCAGGACCTGCCTGTGTGCTGTGCTCCTGCATGGAGCAGGTACCACCATGGCTGGGGTCAGGCTTCAGCGCCTCAGGGTCCTGCAGATGCTGCCTTGGGAGCTGTCTGGGCTATGGCTCTCCCTTTACTAGGCTTTGAACAATGGGGATGTCTTGCTGTTGTTGCTCCTGGGGGGAGGCGGTGCTGTGCCGAGTCTCCAGGAGGAGGAAAATCAAGGAAAAGCCATTTCTGTAGTGGTTGTGAGGCTGTGGGGATCCACATCTCCAGCCTGGTGGGTGCATGGTCAGGCTTTGCACAGGGCCAGGCTGTGCATGATGCACAAACCGGGGAACTTGGTTCTTTGGGAAGCTGCTGGTTCCCAAGGCTCTGCGATCCTTTCATTGCTTCGTCTTCTCCTTTGCACGCTCCGGTGAGGAGGTGGTGGCTCCTGGGGAGCGAAAGGGGATGGTGAGTTCAGGGAAACCCTCCCTGAGGCTCAGCTTCATGGGGGGAAGAAGCACTTAATGAGTGTCCGAGCTTCCCTGCCGCAGGTCAGCTCGCCAGGTTACAACCCCTGGAGCCTCTTCCCACTGCATGGCCGTGCCAGGGATGCTGCAGCTGCTCAGGATATGGGGTGAGAACCGGCTGTGCACGAGGCCAGGCCGGGAAACAGCAAAACAGCCCCGTGTCCAGCGGGGGAATGACCCGGAGCGTGGGAGTGGGAGCATCCATGAGACATCTCCATCCTGTGTCCCCCGGCCTTGCCACTGCGTCCGGGATGCAAGAACCCAGGGCAGGGTGGTGGGAGCCTGTGCCTGGCTGAAACCTCAATGTGATCCTTGATGCAGCTTCTTTTAGCTTCGGAAATTCACAGCTGGCATGAAATCCATTGGGAGGAGAAAGCCTGAAAGTGTCAGGGCTTGTTTGGCATCCCTGGGAGGAAGGAGGAATCCTCTGCCCCACATCCCGAAGCTGCTGGAGCTGCTCCGGAGAGGGGCCTTGTAGGAGCAGGAGATAAAGTGTAGTCACATCCTGGTCTCTTGCTGGAGCAGAGTGTAGGGCTCGACCTCTCCCCATTGACATATGCAAAACAAGCTGGGAAGGAATTTCTGCCTTTTCCAGTTTCTGGGCTGTGACAGTTGAATGAATCCTGTGTGGGTCCCTGCGCTGGGTCTGTGTCATCCCACTGCCTCGCAGAGAGCGTTTGTGTTTCTCATGTTTGGGGCATTTTGTTTGTTTAAGAGAGCGCGGGGGAGAAAGCCACAGAATTTTAGTTATTCCTTGCAAATATTATTATTGGCGTTTGGCTGCTCTTCGGAGAGAAGAAAGTCAAGGGGGGAATCAAAACATTTCACTGGAAAATGCACCCTGGCTCCGTCCCACCGCGGCTCAACAAGAAATGTTTATTGAGAAATGGGTTAAAAACCTTTCTGTTGGAGCATTGTCTCTGGGAGCTGGGATGGGTTCCCATATGCTGGAGCCACCCGGCTCAGTAGTCGGCTCTGTTGTGTTGTTGCAGGATGGGTATGAGAGCAAGCAGACAGCGGAGCTGTGGATGCCGCGGGCAGGGGCTTGGGGTGTTCTCTGGTCCTGCCTCTTGCACAGGCTGCTCCTTCCTACCAGCATCCTGGTGCCTTTTGGCGGGGGGAACTGTGTGTGAGCCTGGGGCTCCCATGGGGCTCTGGGCTGCCTGGAATCACCAAATCATTCCTGCTATAAATATCCCCTGGCCCCGCTGCAGGAGGCGGCGACAGTGAGGGGTGGTGGCCCCTGGTGAGGGGCTTCACTGGGGCGATGGAGCAGGGATGCCGAGGGGTCCCTGTCCCCTGGCTGGGCTGCTGCTGGTAACCAGAGCCAGGGACACCTCCAGTCACTGCTGGCCAAGTGCTGGGTAGTGCAGGGACCTTCCCTGGGAGCTGGGGAACCTAATTGGGCTCTAATTAATCCTGTTCTCTGGCTGCGAGCCGTGGCGCGTCTGCCCGTGTCAGAGCCCTCGTCACCTCCCTTGGACACGCGGCGTGAGGGGATGCTCGGCACAGCGAGGGGATGCTCGGCACAGCGAGCTTGCCACCGGTGCAGGAGCCAACCCAGCAGTTCCATAATTGCTTCCAAAAAGGCCCAGGTGGGCTTTCAAAGTCAGCAAAGCTGCAAAGCAATAGGGGAGGCAGCCTGGGTGGTTTTATTTTAATTGATTTTGTCAGGAGTTGCTGTATTTTATTACAGTGAAAGACGAGACTCTGGAATAACTTTGAACGTTTGACACGCACACAAAAAGCAGCTTTCTGACATTTTCCTCTTTGCTTGTCTTTTATTTTCTTTCTCCCCTCTCCTCCTCCTCAAAGGGAAGCGTGTGCCTGGGGGGAGGACGGGAGGAGGGAGGGGTGGTGGTGCCTCTCCAAAGGCTGCTCCGACATCAAGGCAGCGCAGAGCAGATGAAATAATATTGCAAATAAGGATTTAAAAGCCCTACAGAAGGATCCCCACGCGCGCCAGCTCAGGCTGCTCCGAGATCTTCAGACAGCAGCAATTTAGCCTGGGAAAACGCTCCCCGGTTGAGATGGAAACTGGCTGCGAGAACTTGCCTTTTCTGACGACGTTTTGCTTCGGAAAAGCAAAGCAAAG